ACCCCCACTCCAAATGTCTAAATGTGACGAAGTCGTTGCAGCTGGGAGTGTAGGAGTGGGGTGTGGGGATGAGAGGTCTGATAAATCAAATTAGGTTTATGATGGGATTTTCTAATTCACTTCCATTCCAGATACTGCCGAATAGAAAGTAAAGGCTGTGAGTTATCAAAACGGTTGCACTACTTCAGAGCACTCCAAAAAAAAAAAGTGGAACTGATAAGGGTCATTATATGAGGAATTGCAGACACAGCGATTTTTTTTCAATGAAGGGAACAAATTTTGTGAAGATTGTGAAAACTTGCGTAGCAATGTAGGTTAAAAGGAGGCTTAGGCTATTATACAGAAAATTAAGGATCAATAAGTGTGATGAAAAACAAGCGACGATTTTTAGAGAATATCAGACCAATCAGACCAATGGGCCATCAGAGTATTTTTTCAAGGACCAACAGACCTATAATTGTGGAATTTTTTAAAAATATTTTTTCAAGGACCTTTAGACCAACAATCGTGGATTTAAAAAAAATTTTTTGAAGGACCCACAGACCAATAATCGTGGATTTTTAAGGAATATTCTTTTCAAGGACCCATAGACCAACAATCGTGAATTTTTAAAGAATATTTTTTTTCAAGGACCTATAGACTAACAATCGTGGATTTTTAAGGAATATTCTTTTCGAGTACCAACAGACCAATACTCATGGATTTTTTAAGAATATTTTTTTCAGGGACCAACAAGCCAATGAATGTTTTTTAGGAATATTTTTTCAAGGACCCATAGAGCAATAATCTTGAATTTTTTAAGAATATTTGTTTAAGGACCTATATACCAACAATCGTTGATTTTTAAGGAATGTTCTTTTCGATCCTGGATTTTTTAAGAATATTTTTTCAAGGACCAATAGACCAATAATCCTGGGTTTTCTAAGAATATTTTTCATGGACCATCAGGCCAACAAAAGGGGATTTTTTAAGAATATTTTTTCAAGGATAAATAATCCTAATTTTTTTAAGAATATTTTTTCAAGGACCTACAGACAAACAATCGTGGATTTTGAGGAATATTCCTTTCAAAGACCAAACGACCAATAACCCGGGATTTTTTAAGAGTATTTTTTTCTAGGGTTACGCACCAATAATCATTGATTTTTTTAAGAATTTTTTTTTTAGAGACCAGCAAGAATACCAATACCAATTGACCAATAATCCTGGATTTTTAAGAAAATGTTTCAATCGTGGATTTAAAAAAAAACATTTTTTAGAAATATCTTTTTAAAATATATATATATTTTTTATGGAGTCCCAATAAACGTGGATTTTTAAATAATATTTTTTTAGAAATATTTTTAAGAATAATTTTATGGAGTTTTTTAAATAATATTTTTTTAAATATCCAGTAAACGTGGATTTTTTTTAAACAATATTTTTTAGAAATATTTTTTTAAGAATAATTTTATGGAGTTTTTTAAATAACATTTTTTATGGGGTCCCAGTAAACGTAGATTTTTCTTTAAATTATTTTTTTAGAAATATTTTTTTTAAGAATAATTTTATGAAGTTTATACTTCAAAAATAATATTATTTTAAAATATATTTTTATGGAGTCCCATTTTTAAGGTTCTTTTTTAATGAATGTGGATTTTTTAAAATATTTTTCAGCAAACGTGAATTTTTTAAAACCTCAATTTAATAAAAGTCTTTTTAAAAATATTTTGTAAAGGATTCTTTTAATAAAAGTCTTTTTTTTAATATTTTGTATAGTCTTCTTATAATAAAATTATTTTTTAAAAATATTTTTAAAGTCTTCTTTTAACAAACGTGGATTTTTAAAATTATTTTTAAAGCCTCTTTATAAACGTGGATTTTTAAAATTATTTTTAAAGCCTCTTTTAATAAAAGGTTTTAAAAAAAATGTTTTTTTGAAAATCTTTTTTTAATAAACGTGGATTTTTAAAATATTTTGTTAGTCTTTTTTATTAAAAGTCTTTTTAATGAAAGTCTGTTTTAAAAATATTATTTAAAGATTTCTTTTAATATACGTCTTTTTTTAAATAATTTTTAAAGTCTTCTTTTATAAAAGTGGATTTTTTAAAAAAGGCTTTTTTAAAAATATTTTTAAAGTCTTTTTAATAAACGTCGATTTACAAAAAAATATTTTCAAAGCCTTTTTTAATAAAAGATATTTTAAATGCTTTTTAAAATAAACGTGGATTTTTTAAAAATATTTTTTAAAGTCTCTTTTTAAAAATAGTCTTTTTTAAAAAATATTTTTTTTGGAGTCACAACAAACGTGGATTTTTTAAAAATATTTTTTAAAGTCTCTTTTAAAAATAGTCTTTTTTAAAAAATTTTTTTTTGGAGTCACAACAAACGTGGATTTTTTAAAAATATTTTTTAAAGTCTCTTTATAAAAATAGTCTTTTTTAAAAAATATTTTTTTGGAGTCACAACAAACGTGGATTTTTTAAAAATAATTTTATTTTAGAAATTATTTTTAAATATCTTTAATAGAGTTTTAGACATATTTTTGTAGGAATATTTTATGCAGTACCAGTAAACGTGGATTTTTTAATAATATTTTTTTTTAAATAAAAATATGTTTTGGAGTCTCAATAAATGTGGATTTTTCAAAATATGTTTTCAAGTCTTTTTAATAAACGTGGGTTTTTTAAAATCTTTTTTTAAGTCATTTTTAATAAAAATTTTTCTTAAAAGTATTTGTAAAATCTTCTTTTAAAAAAAGTTATTTTTTATAAAAGTCTTTTTAAAAAGTATTTTTTAAAAAAATTTTTAATTTTTTTATTTTTTATAAAGACTTTTTTAAAAGTCTTTTTTAAAAGTGGATTTTTTAAAGACTTTTTATTAATAAAAGGCTTTTTTAAAAAAATTTTTAAAGTCTTTTTTAAAAAAACGTAGATTTACAAAAAATATTTTCAAAGCTCTTTTTAATAAAAATATTTTTAAAGCCTTTTTAAAAATATTTTAAAAGTCTCTTTTTAAAAAAATTTTTTAAAGTTTTTTTTTATAAAAGAGTATTTAAGAAAAATTAGTCTCTTTTAAAAATTGTTTTTTAATAAAAGTGGATTTTTTAAAAATATTTTTAAAGGTTTTAAAAAAAAAAAAACGCTTTTTTAAAAATATTTTAAAGTTTTTTTTTTTTAATAAACGTAGATGTACAAAAAATATTTTCAAAGCCTTTTTTAAAAAAAGATATTTGTTAAAGCCTTTTTAATAAACGTGGATTTTTTTAAAAATATTTTTTAAATCTCTTTTTAAAAATAGTGGGCTTTTTAAAATATTTTCTTAAAATCTTTTTTTATAAATGTGGATTAAAAAAATTAGTCTTTTTTAAAAATTATTTTTTATAAATGTGGATTTTTTAAAAATATTTTTTAAATACTTTTTATTAATAAAAGGCTTTTTTAAAAATATAATAAGTCTTTTTTAACAAACGTAAATTTACAAAAAAATATTTCCAAAGCCTTTTAAATAAAATATATTTTTAAAGCCTTTTTAATAAACGTGGATTTTTTTAAATATTTTTTAAAGTCGCTTTTTAAAAATAGTGGGCTTTTTAAAATATTTTTTAAAAATATTTTTAAAGTCTTTTTTTATAAAAGAGGATTTAGGAAAAATTAGTCTTTTTTAAAAAATATTTTTTAATAAAAGTCGATTTTTTAAATATTTTTTAAAGACTTTTTCTTAATAAAAAGCATTTTTAAAAATATTTTTTAAAGTCTGTTTTATAAAAGTTGATTTAAGAAAGTTAGTCTTTTTAAGAAATATTTTTTAATAAAAGTGGATTTTTTAAAAATATTTTAAAGACTTTTTATTAATAAAAGGCTTTTAAAAATATTTTTAAATTCTTTTTAATAAACGTAGATGTACAAAAAAATATTTTTAAAGCCTTTTTAATAAACGTGGATTTCTTAAAAATATTTTTAAAGCTTCTTTTTAAAAATAGTGGGTATTTTTAATATATTTTGTTTTGGTCCCAAAAATTGTTGATTTTTTTAGAAATATTTTAGAAATATTTGAGTCCAAATGTACGTGGATTTTTTAAAAACATATTTTTTTTTCAAAACCATTTTCCTTCCTTTTTCTAAAAGGAAATGTTCCACCTCTCTTTCAAAGAAAATCATTTATTCTTTTACCATTGCCTTTTTAGTTATATTAATTTATTTAGTTTTTCACCTGTCTTCCATTTCCGTCACTGGCGGTTCAGACTAATTGAAGTCTGTCAGTTTTATTGTTCCAAGCAGCTTCTTGTTCTGTTGCGCATTTTTTTGTTTTTGTGGGACACACGAGTAGCTTTTGCATTGTCTGAGGATATGAAAAAGTTTACCAACAAATAATATTGTATCCATTTCCAACAACACTATTTTCCCATGCAGGTTGCCCTGTAGGGCCAGCAGGCCATGGTCTATGGTGTGGGTAAAAGAGTTTGATTGTTTACATGTATGCCACGAAAACTTTCTTTGGAAACCATTTAAATGGTTTCAAAACCAAGTAGAATATTTGGTTGAAGGGGTATTGAGTTCATTTTGTGGGGAGGAAAATATAAAAACAAAACTTATTTGAATTTAAAAAAAAATTCTTAATTTTAAAAATATTTTTTTTTTAATTTAAAAATATTTTTTTTTTAAATTAAAAAAAAATATCCTGGTGACATGGAAAAATTCGCTAAAAATTGTCCTCTCTGAATCTTTAAAGGCTCCAAAGCAACCAAGCAATTCAAAAAAATATATATTTTTTGCAACAAAGGTCTACACAAAACTCTCCCAAAAAACTCACCTTCTCTCCACAGACCAGCAATGCCACCATTCAGCAAATTCAACATACTTAGCAGAGACACAACCCCGTTCAAGAAGCATTAAAATACTGTTGGCAACACTTGACGCTTGCGTGGGGCCAACCTCCAAGAAAATATTTGCAATTTTATTTTTCAAAATTTATTTTTCTGATTTTAATATTTTACATTTTCTCTCTCTCTCTCCTCCCAGGAATTACAAAACGACTTATCCTTTGATGACACCTTCGACATTGATCAAATCGACGATTCAAAATTGCGCAGTTCCCGCGACCTGGAAGAGCAAGCCTTCATCGAAGATGAACTCCAGCCGGTAGATGAGGCCGAGGCCAACAGCGAAGGCAGTTGGCTGGTGCAGAGCGTTAAACGTGTCCGCCGTGAGTTGGGACGTTTGTTCGGTGCTGAGAACAAACAAGCCGCTGCCGGTGGCAACAAGGTACGCAAACATCACAAAAAACGTTCGGAACGTAATCAAGCTGCCGGTGCTGCCGCTGGAGGTAAAAAGACTCATTCCGAGGGCCACAAGAAAGCCCAACAAAATGGTCATACCAAACAGGCCAATGGTGCTAAATTGCAAACGAAACCAAAGAGAAATCACAAATTGCAAGCCTTGAACCGCCACAAGAAACGTCAATTGTTCGGCGATGAGAATGAGGGTTCCGGCTTCGGCAATGGTGATGATGAAGATGCGCCCATTGATGATTTTGGTGAAACTGATTTGTGTAAGTGAAAAAAAGAAAAGATTCCAAAAATTTTGAAAAAAAAAAAAAAAATAAAAAAAAATCCTCTGCAGCAGAGAAAGATTTTTTTCTATAGAAAAAAAATCCTCTGCAGCAGAGAACGATTTTTTTCTATAGAAAAAAAATTCCTCTGCTACAGAGGAAGACTTTTTCCTATAGAAAAAAATCCTCTGGAGCAGAGAACGATTTTTTTTTCTATAGAAAAAAATTCTCTACAGCAGGGAAAGACTTTTTTCTAAAGAAAAAAATTCCTCTGCAGCAGAGAACGATTTTTTCTATATTAAAAAAATCTCTGCCAGAGAGGAAAATTCCTCTGCAGCAGAGGAAACCTTTTTTCTATAGAAAAAATTCCTCTGCAGCAGAGAACAATTTTTTCTGTAGAAAAAATTCCTCTGCAGCAGAGGCCCTTATGAATGCCAAGTGAGTAAAATGGTTGGTAATGATTGAAGAAAAAATATTCAAAAAAAAATTTTCTTTAGAAAAAAGTCTTTCTCTTCTGCAGAGAAAAATTTTTCTTCAGAAAAGTCTTTCTCTGCTGCAGAGAAAAATTTTTCTTTAGAAAAAAGTCTTCCTCTGCTGCAGAGAAATTTGTTCTGTAGAAAAAAGAAAAAAATCGTTCTCTGCTGCAGAGGATTTTTTTCTATAGAAAAAAATCGATCTCCGCTGCAGAGGATTTTTTTCTATAAAAAAATCGTTTTTTCCTATAGAAAAAATTCCTCTGCTGCAGAGGAATTTTTTTCTATAGGAAAAAAGACTTCCTCTGCTGCAGAGGAATTTTTTTCTATAGGGAAAAGCCTTTCTCTGCCGCAGAGGAATTTTTTTCTATAGGAAAAAGCCTTTCTCTGCCGCAGAGGAATTTTTTTCTATAGGAAAAAGCCTTCCTCTGCCGCAGAGGAATTTTTTTCTATAGAAAAAAGTCTTCCTCTGCTGCAGAGGAATTTTTTCCATAGAAAAAACTCAGTTGCAGAGATTTTTTTTTCTATAGAAAATATTTTTTCTCTGTTGCAGAGGAATTTTTTTCTATAGAAAAAAATTTTTTCTCTGCTGCAGTGGATTTTTTTCTATAGAAAAAATTTTTCTCCGATGCAGAGGAATTTTTTTTCTATAGAAAAAAATATTTCTCTGCGGCAGATAACGATTTTTTTCTATAGAAAAAAATCCTCTGCAGCAGAGAACGATTTTTCTATAGAAAAAAATCCTCTGCAGCAGAGAACGATTTTTTCTATAGAAAAATATTTCTCTGCAGCGGAGGACTATTTTTCTATAGAAAAAAATGTCTCTGCGGCAGAGAACGTTTTTTTTTTCTATTTTTTTCTGCAGAGGATTTTTTTCTATAGATTGTTTTTCTGAGAACGATTGTTGTCTATAGAAAAAAAATTCTCTGCAGCAGAGAACGATTTTTGTCTAAAGAAAAAAAATTCTCTGCAGCAGAGAACGATTTTTGGCTAAAGAAAAAGATTCCTCTGCAGCAGAAGGAGACTTTTTTTCTATAGAAAAAAAAATCCTCAGCAGCAGAGAACGATTTTTTTCTATAGAAAAAAAATTTTCTGCAGCAGAGAAAGACTTTTTTCTATAGAAAAAAATTCTCTGCAGCAGAGAAAGACTTTTTTCTGAAGAAAAAAATTTCTCTTCCGCAGAGAAAGACTTTTTTCTATAGAAAAAATTTCCTCTGCAGCAGAGGAAAAATTTTTTTCTATAGAAAAAAATCCTCTGCAGCAGAGAAAAAAATTTTTTCTATAGAAAAAAATCCTCTCAGCAGAGAAAATTTTTTGCTATAGAAAAAAATTCCTCTGCAGCAGAGAAGAGAACGAGAAAAACAATCTCCTCTTTGTTGTTTTTTTTTTTTTTTTATATTCGACTTATTTTTCCCGTTTCCAGGGGAGGCCTACGTTGTTGTCAACCTACCCTGGGATGATGCCTATGAGGATAAGACCAGCGAGGAATTTGCCGCTTTGCAGTCCCAAATCGAGGCGGCCTTTGTTGAGTGGTTCGATGACGAATACGGCTATGAAGAGTTTGCCCTGCATGTGGCCCTCATGAATGCCAAGTGAGTAAAATAGAAATTAATTTTTGAAGAAGAAAATAAAAATATTCGAAAAAAAAATCTCTTTACCAGACGTACCGATGACTACTATCGCATGCACTGTACCATCCAAATGGACTTGCCCGAGAAATTCGGCAGCTTTGCCCAACGGGTGCAACATCAATTGACGTCCTATCGCAAAATGGCCGATTTGGGCATGGAAGCCGATGACCAGTTCTATTTCAGACGTGTGAGAGGTAAGTGGCTTTTTTGTCGATTGGCAAAAATAGAAAATCTTCATTAAAAAATTTTTTGTAAAGGTCCTGGAAATGTCCTTTTGAAAAAAACGTAGAAATTTTAAAAATCTAAATTTAGTTTTCTGTTATTCCAAAGAAAGGATAGTAAAATCCTTTGAGTAAAAATCAACCAAAAAAAATATTCTGTGAGTCCATTTTTAGTCTGGAAAAAAATTAGAAATCATTTTGGGTGTAGTTTGTTGCAGATTTTCAATTTCCATAAATTTTTCAAAATCAAAAAAAAAAAAAAAAACATTTGTATTATAAATATATTGTCTTTCAATTCCAAAAAAAAAAAAAAAATACCCAAAACATAAAACACAACCCATCCACATTGCTAAATACACATTTTCTCTCTCAAATCCTTCACGCTTCAAAACCAAAAACAACAACAAAAACACATTCCAAAACCCCCCTTAGATTTGCAAAATCATGATTTCGTCGATGTCACCGAGTCTGGCCATGATGCTCAAGCTCATAATAATGGTGGTGGTGCAGGTGCTGGTGCCTATGATGGCCATGATAGCAACAACAACAACAATGGTTACTACGATCAAGGACATGGTTATGATGCCAATAATCAGGACAATGGCCATGGCTATTATGATCAGGAAAATGCTGGACATGGTCATGAGGATGGCCACACCAATGCCTATGACAGTACCAATGCCTATGATAACGACAACAACAACAACCATGGTTATGATGATAACAACAACAACAACAATGGCTATGATGTTTATGGCAACAATAATGCCTATGATCCCTATGGACATGGCAGCACTGAAGACAACAACAACAACAACAATGGCTATGACAACAACAATGCCTATGATCCCAATGATCCTTATGCCCAGGGTCACACTGAAGACACCAACAACCACAATGCCTATGACACTAACAATGCCTATGATCCCAATGATCCTTATGCCCAGGGTCACACTGAGGACAACAACAACCACAATGCCTATGATCCCTATGGCCATGGCAACACTGAAAGCAATGCCTACGACAGCAACAACAACAACAATGGCTATGAGGACAACAACAACAATGCCTACGACCCCTATGCCCATGATCCCTATGCCCATGGCAACACCCACGAAGAACCTGAAGAAGAAGACGAAGAAGAAACCGAACAAGAACACGAAGCTCCTCGTCCCAATATTATGGTATACGACTGTGATCAAAATCCCGATGGTGATTTCCAATGTGCCAACGGTGATGTGATTCCATGCTACAAACGTTGCAACAACTATGTCGATTGCCTGGACGAGAGCGACGAAGAGCCCGATATGTGCAAAGTGGTGTTGGAACGTGAAGAGGAAGAAATCGAAGAAAGCACCAATGAGGATGAGGACAACTGGGGTTCATGGCCAAATGTCAACAAAGGTACACACTCTCACTCATGCTTACACTACACTATACACTACACACACACACACATGCACTCAAACATAACCTCACATAACAAATCACACAAAAAATTTAAAAGGCTTTAAAAAAAACAAAAAAAAAGCTTTTATTTACTAAAATAATGTGGCTTAGATTTGTAACTTTAACAAGGATATAAAAATGAGGTAGGACTGTTTTTGTTGGATTTTTTTTTTTTCAAAAAAAAAAAAAAAAAAAAAAATAATAATAATAAATAAATAAATAAATAAAAATAAAAAATAAAAATAAAAAATAAAATAAAATAAATAAATAAATGAATAAATATAAATATTAAAATATTGATCTTTGAAAAAAATATTTTTAAAAATCCACGTTCAATATTGATCTTTGAAAAAAATATTTTTAAACCAAATTCAATATTGATCTTCAAAATAAAATATTTTTAAAAATACACGTTCAATATCGATCGTTGAAAAAAATATTTTTAAAAATCCCCGTTCAATTTTATTCTTTTAAAAAAATATTTTTAAAAATCCAACATCAATATTGATATTTTCAAAAAATATTTTTAAAAATCCATGTTAAATATTGATCTCTGAAAAAAAATATTTTTAAACATCCACGTTCAATATTGTTCTTTAAAAAAAAATATTTTTAAAAATCCCCGTTCAATATTATCCTTTGAAAAAAATATTTTTCAAAATCCACGTTCAAAATTGATCTTTTAAAAAATATTTTTTAAAATCCATGTTGAATATTGATTTTTGAAAAAAATATTTTTAAAAATACAAGATTTTTATTGATCTTTGAAAAAATATATTTTTTTAATTTAAGTTATTTGTTGAACTTTGAAAAAATATTTTTAAAAATCCACGTTCAAAATTGAACTTTTGAAAAAATATTTTTAAAAATTCACGATCAAAATTGAACTTTGAAAAAAATATTTTTAAAAATCAACGTTCAATATTGATCTTTGAAAAAAATATTTTTTTATCCACGTTAAATATTCATCCTTGGAAAAAAATATTTTTTTAAATCCATGTGGAATATTGATCTTTAAAAAAAATATTTTTAAAAAACCACATTCAATATTGATCTTTGAAAAAAAATATTTTTAAAAATCCACGTTCAATATTAATCTTTGAAAAAAAATATTGATCTTAAAAAAAATATTTTTAAAACCCCACGTTCAATATTAATCTTTGAAAAAAATATTGATCTTAAAAAAAAATATTTTTAAAAATCCACGTTCAATATTAATCTTAAAAAAAAAATATTTTTAAAAATCCACGTTCAATATTAATCTTAAAAAAATTTTTTTAAAAATCCACGTTCAATATTAATTTTAAAAAAATATTTTTTTTTAAATCCACGTTCAAAATTGAACTTTGAAAAAAATATTTTTAAAAATCCACGTTTAACATTGATCTTTGAAAAAATACTTTTAAAAATCCCCATTCAATATTGATTTTTGAAAAAAATATTTTTAAAAATCCACGTTCAATATTCCTCTTTGAAAAAAAAAATATTTTTTAAAATCCACGTTTAATATTGATCTTTGAAAAAAATATATTTAAAAACCCTTGAACGTGAATTTTTGAAAAAAAAATATTTTTAAAATCCCCGTTCAATATTATTCTTTTAAAAAAATATTTTTAAAAATCCACCATCAATATTGATATTTTCAAAAAATATTTTTAAAAATCCATGTTAACTATTGATCTTTGAAATAAAATATTTTTAAAAATTCAATATTGAACTTTGAAAAAAATATTTTTAAAAATCCACATTCAATATTGAACTTTGAAAAAAATATTTTTAAAAATCCACATTCAATATTGAACTTTGAAAAAAAAATATTTTTAAAAATCCACGTTCAATATTATTCATTGGGAAAATATTTTTAAAAATCCACGTTCAATATTGATCTTTGAAAAAAATATTTTTTAAAATTCACGTTCAATATTGATGCTTGAAAAAAATATTTTTAAAAATTCACATTCAATATTGAACTTTGAAAAAAAAATATTTTTAAGAATCCACTTTAAATATTATTCTTTTAAAAAAATATTTTTTAAAATCCACGTTTAATATTATCCTTTGAAGAGAATATTAAAAAAAATTAATTTTTATTTACAAAAACCACCTTTATTACACCGTGCACCAAAAATCATTTTTCTAATTATCACAGGGAAATGACAGCAGATTATGAAAGTAGAGCCTAAAAAGAAAACATGTGCATAGGAGTTTTGAAAGTCTACGAAGTAATAAATGCCCCCTTCTTCCATTTTTTTTCTGGAAATTTCGCCTTCAGATTTCTTGGTATCTGTTAACTTTAGGTTTATAGTGTCTTTGGCAATGTTGAAGATAACAATATGTGGAATATTTTTGTCAAAAACTTTAACCCTCAAGCGAGTCACCAAAGGGGTATTTTTCGAACTTTTTTCAAAATATGGTTAAAAACCCCCTATAAACGGGATCGTAGCAAGTGAAAATATTCAACAAAATTTTTTGGCCATAAAATTCTACTATAGGTCCTAAAAGACATCAGAAGTCCGAGTTTTACTAAAACGCCAGGAAATCATATTTATTAGAAACGCATTTTAGAGTTAACATCAGACTTTATGTGAATTTATACAAAAATCTCCTACAAAGCATTAATTTAAAAGGATGACGTCAGAGAACAAAATATTCCCTATCAAATTTCACTAAAGGTCACCGTAGATGAGGAACCTTTATTTCCCATATATATTCGGAAAATATTTAAATCAAATTTTGCAAAAAAAACGCATTTTTTCCCCTGTCTTCTTTTGACTTGACGTCTGAAAATAACACAAAATGTCATTTTAGACAGAAGGTATCAAAGGAAGAAATATTCTACACAGCATTTCACTATGAATCTCGAAATAAACTATATATCAAAGTCCAATAGTTTTCAAGAAAATTAAATTCCAATTTCATGTATCACAAGTGAGAAAAATTAGTTTGCCATTTTTTACTGTCAATATATTACGTTACCATTTAACGTCAATATCTCGTTTAATACTTCATTTTTTGGGACAAGTCTCAAAGCCGAAATTATTCGCCATCAATTTTCACTATATGTCACCATAGAAGAGGAACCTTTATTTCTCATATATATTCGGAAAATCTTTGAATCAATTTTGCCAAAAGAAACCAAAAATATTTCCTCCTATTTTTTTTTTTTTTTCATTAATTTTTTACTGTCTTTTTCCGAGTTGATGCCTGAAAGTGACAAAAAATTTCGTTTTAGGAAGAAGTTATCAGAAGAAGAATTATTCTACACAACATTTCACGGCATATCTAAGAATCAACCCTATATCTAGGTACAATAGTTTTCAGGAAAATTACATTCGAATTGTATGTACCACAAGGGTAAAAAATATGTGTTTGCCGTTTTTTGCTGTAAATTTAACACATTTTCAAGCCAAGTCAAAATCTCCCTTTAAAATTAATTTTTTGGAAAAAGTCTTAAAGGCAAAAATACTCCTCATCAAGTTTCACTATAGGTCACCAAAAAAAAAGAAATCTCTATTCCCCTTTTATAACCGGAAAATATTTGAAATCAATTTTGTCAAAAATAGCACAAATATCTCCATTTTTTTGGATAATTTTTCTTCGGCCATTTTTCGAGTTGATGCCTGAAAGTAACATAAAATTTCATTTTAGGCAGAAGCTGTCAAAGGAAGAATTATTCTACATAACATTTCACTATAAATCTCATAATCAACCCTATATCTAGGTACAATAGTTTTCTGGAAAATTACATTCGAATTGTATGTACCACAAGGGTAAAATATGTGTTTTTTCCGTTTTTTTCTGTTAATTGAACACATTTTCAATCCAAGTCAAAATCTCCCATTGAACTTAATTTTTTTGGAAAAATCTCAAAGGCAAAAATACTCCTCATCAAATTTTACCGTAGGTCACCTAAGAAAAGAAACCTCTATTTCCCTTTTATAACCGGAAAAATATTTAAATCAATTTTGGCAAAAATAGCACAAATATTTCCTTTTTTTTGATGAATTTTTCTTCGGCCATTTTTCGAGTTGACACCTAAAAATAACATAAAATTTCGTTTTATGCAGAAGCTGTCAAAAGAAGAAATATTCTACAGAAAATTTCAAGGTATATCTCAGAATAAACCATATCTCTAGGTACAATCGGTTTTAAGAAAATTACATTCGAAATGTGTGTACCACAAGGGAAAAATATGTGTTGGCCGTGTTTTCTGTTACTATAACACATTTTCAAATAAAGTCAAAATCACCCATTGAACTTTATTTTTTGGGAAAAATCTCAAAGGCAAAAATACTCCTCATCAAATTCGACTATAGGTCACCTAAGAAAAGAAAACTGTATTTGTCTTATTTATCCGGAAAATATTTAAATCAATTTTGTCAAAAATAGTGAAAATAGTTTCCATTTTTTGGATACATTTTCCTCGGATTTTTTCGAGTTAACCCCTGAAAGTATCATAAAATTCCATTTTAGACAAAAGTGGCCAAAAGAGGATATATTCTACACAACATTTCACTATAAATCTCAGAATAAACAATATCTATAGGTAAAATAGGTTTTAAGAAAATTGCATTCGAATTATATATCTGTTTTTTTACTGTTAATTTAACACATTTTCAAGCCAAGTCAAAATCTCCCCTTAAACTTCATTTTTTGGAAAAAGTCTTAAAGGCAAAAATATTCCTCATCAAATTCGACTATAGATCACCAAAGAAAAGAAAACTTTATTTTCCTTTTTTAAGCGGAAAATATTTGAATCGATTTTGTCAAAAATAGCAAAAATATTTCCTTTTTTTGATGAATTTTTCTTCGGCCATTTTCCGAGTTGATGCCTGAAAGTAACATAAAATTTCGTTTTAGGAAGAAGTTGTCAGAAGAAGAAATATTCTGCAGAAAATTTCACGGTATATCTCAGAATAAACCATATCTCTAGGTACAACAGGTTCTAAGAAAATTACATTTGAAATGTATGGCCTACAAGGGAAAAATTTGCTGTTAATTTAACACCTTTTCAAGCCAAGTGAAAATCTCCCATTAAACTTCATTTTTTAGAAAAGGTCCTAAAGACGAAAACCTTCCTCATCAAATTTCACTATAGGTCACCAAAGAAAAGAAATCGTTATTTTTATGAAATAACCGGAAAATATCTAAATCAATTTTGTCAAAAAAAGCCAAAATAGTTACATATTTTTTACTCAATTTTCCTCGCCTTTTTTTCGAGTTAACCCCTGAAAGTAACATAAAATATCATTATAAACAAAAGTTGCCAAAGGAGAATATATTCTACACAACATTTCACTATTAATCTCAGAATAAGCCATACCTCTAGGTACAATCATTTTTAAGAAAATTACATTCGAAAATTCAAAAATTGCGAAAATATTTCTAATTTTTTGATAATTTTTCCCGGACTTTTTTCGAGTTAACCCCTGAAAGTAACATAAAATTTCATTTTAGACAACAGTTACCAAAAGAGGATATATTCTACACAACATTTCACTATAAATCTCAGAATAAACCATACCTCTAGGTACAATCGTTTTTAAGAAAATTACATTCGAAATGTATTTTTACTGTTAAATTAACGCATTTTCAATTCAAGTTAAAATCTCCCCTTAAACTTCATTTTTTGGAAAAGGTCTTAGGGACAAAAATATTCCCCATAAAATTTTACTATAGGTCACCAAAGAAAAGAAAACTGTATTTCCCTTTTATAACCGGAAAATATCTAAATCAATTTTGTCAAAAATAGCGAAATAGAAAATAAACTTGTGAAAGTATTGTAAATATTTGCCCATGTCTGGTGCATACTTTTAGGAGCTCATTTAATTTTTTTTTCCTTTATATCTTAAATATTTCCAACATTTTGATATCCTTAAAAAAGTTACAAAATAAAGCTGAAAATTCGTTGACGTTTTTTGCTGCCTGAAAAATATTGAAAAAAAAAATATTTTTCATAACCCTGCTTTTGTTATCCCATGGGGGTCTATTGTAAGACTCCCCAACTAATCTTAGTTTTATAAAAAGATTTTTACTAACATAACACTGATATAAAGTTGTGGGTATTTAGAAAAAAAAAAATATTCCAAAATGCTTAGCTAATAAAATTCAAATATTTTTCATTACTCACTTTTTAACTTTTTCTCATTTCATCTGTCATTTTTTTTCTAACATAACTTTGTAGTTAAAAAATATAAACATACTCATAATTTTCACGAAAACTCAAAATTCCGGGGAAAGATTTTTCCCGAAAACCAAATTTATTTTCCACTTCAATTCGAACACCATCACCGCATTTTTCTCGACCACATAATCAATGAATTGAAATCCATTGCCACAATTAGTTCCCATTTATTTCATTCACTGCCGTCTCTTTTACCCAGCTATGGCTTTTGAACTATTTGCATTTTCCAATTTCCATTGAAAAATCTCTCCTCATCCGTTTAGTTCACAAAATTTTCATTAACGTATTTTTTGGAAACTTAAAAAAAATTCTCTCTGTGTCTCCACGTCTTGGGTCCCCACGAAATTTATTTTTTTATTGCTGTTTGTTTGTGTGGACCCACTGTGCCTCTATGTTGTGTCTGTCCCCTGGGGTAACTTTGTTGCAGCTCTCCTTAAGCTTGGCTTTTTTCTCTAATAAAACCCCTGCGAAAAATGCCTGAACTTAGTTAGAAAAAAAAAATTGTTGTTTTTTTGAAAACTATCCTCCATCTAATTCGGAAATTTAAACTTAAATCTTAGAAACAAGCACCGATGATTCTTGGGTTACACCGGAATCACATCCTGATGCCGGACATCATGACACCCATGCCGTTGAAGAAGAGGAAGAAGAAAAAGAAGAAGAGGAGGAAGAACATTCTCCCACCTACGAAACAATTGACTATGATCGTCCCATTGATGCCGAACGTCGTGTGGAAGAGCCCGTCAATGCCGGCGGCAATGTCTATGGCGGTGAAGAAGATCATCATCATGGCGGTGCTGGTGGCTTGGACAACAACATTTTCGAATCATCCGGAGATTACTCGCCCGTCACTGAAACCAGTGCCGTCTTTACACCACCCACTGGCTGTCGTGGCGATTCGACCTACACCTGTCGCGAAAGTAATGTTCAAATCTGTGACGAACATTTGTGCGATGGTGTGGAACACTGCCCCGATGGTGAAGACGAACTGAACTGTGGCAGCGACGATGAGTTCAACTATGAAAAGGGTATAGTGCAACTCTCTCTTGTTCTCTCTCATGTTTCTGTGTTTGTCTCTTTAATGTTTGTTTGTGTGTGAAGGGCATCGTCGTCGTCTCATTATCTACACTGTGACTCAAAACTTTTCTGTGCATCTACCCCAAACCCCTACCCAGATCCCAGTTCCCCTTTGTTATAGTCCTTTTTCATTTGTGTCATGTCCTTTCTTTTACAGGTTTAGGCTAAAATGGTGAGAGGTGGAATTATTCTCTTAGAAAAAAAAAAAAAAAACAAAAATTATCTTTGAAAACAAATCTAAATTTAAGAGTAACCGGTTACTCACGAATAAAATTTCCAATTTCCTAACAAAAAAAAAAAAAAAAAAACACTTTATAGGGCATATGTGGTGATTCAGGCTTATTTCCACATTGAATATAAAAAGTAACCGATTTTTCTTGCACCAAAAAATAGGGAAAATAACCGATTACCCGAACATAAAACTCGTATATTTTAAGAAACAAGCACTAATACTTGTTATACAACGATAAATATGGTTTTTTGATAGATAACAACAAAAAATTCAAATAGTAACCGGTTACTCAAAGACAAGTTTTGTGAATTTTTTTATTACAAACGAATTTTCTTTTCATAAAATCTGTTATACAACGGTAAATATGGGTTTTTCCGATAGTTAACAACAAAAATTGCAAAAAGTAACCGGTTACTCAAAGACAAGTTTTGCGAATTTTTTTATTACAAACGAATTTTCTTTTCATAAAATTTGTTATACAACGGTATATATGATTTTTTCGGCGGATATCAACAAAAAATTTAAAAAGTAACCGGTTACTCAAAGACAAGTTTTGCGAATTTTTTTATTACAAACGAATTTTCTTTTTATAAAATATAAATTTTCTATATATAAAATTGTATAACATACAACGGTATATATGATTTTTTTGGCAGATACCAACAAAAAATTAAAAAGTAACCGGTTACTCATATACATTTTTTGCGAATTTTCTTATCAGTAACCATGAAAATCGATATAAAATGACTCAATAAAGCCAATTTACCACTTTCCAACTAATTGCAATTAAAAACAAAGAAAAGTAACCGGTTACTCATAGACAAATTTCCCTAATTTTCTCACAATAAGCATTAAACTGATTAGAGAACGGTAATGGTTGGCAAATATGTTATTTTGAACGGTATATTTTGCTTTTCCGACATATAACTACAAAAATTTTAAAAAGTAACCGGTCACTCGAAGTCATGTTTTGTCAATTTTCTTGTGAGAAACAAAGCAAATCGATATATAATGAGTCTATAGATATAATTTACCACTTTCCAACTAATTGCAATAAAAACAAAGAAAAGTAACCGGTTACTCATAGTCAAATTTTGCTAGTTTTCTTACAATAACCATCAAACTGATTAGAGAACGGTTATGGTAGGCAAATATGTTATTTTGATGGTATATTTTGCTTTTCCGACAAATAACTACAAAAAATTTAAAAAGTAACCGGTTACTCAAAGACTTGGTTTGCAAATTTTCTTATGAAAACCAATGAAAATCGATGCAAAATGACTCAATAAAGATAATTTACCACTTTCCAACTAATTGCAATTAAAAACAACGAAAAGTAACCGGTTACTCATAAACAAATTTTGCTAGTTTTTTTTTAAATAACCATCAAACTGATTAAAGAACGATTATGGAAGGCAAATATGTTATTTTCAACGGTATATTTTGCTTTTCCGTATGATAACAACAAAAAAATTCGAAAAGTAACCGGTTACTAAAATACTTCTTTTGCGAATTTTCTTATGAGTAACCATGAAAGTCGATTTAAAATGACTCAATAAGGCCAATTTACCTCTTTCCACCTAATTGTAGTAAAAACAAAGAAAAGTAACCGGTTACTCATAGACAAATTTTTCTTACAATACCAATCAACTGATTATAGAAGAGTTATGATAGGCAAATATGTTATTTTGAACGGTGTATTTTGCTTTTCCGACAGATAACAACAAAAATTCGAAAAGTAACCGGTTACTCAAAGACTTGGTTTGCGAATTTTCTTATGAAAACCAATGAAAATCGATATAAAATGACTCAAAAAAGCAAATTTACCACTTTTCAACTAATTGCAATAAAAAACAAGGAAAAGTAACCGGTTACTCATAGACAAATTTTGCTAGTTTTTTTAAAATAACCATCAAACTGATTAGAGAACGGTTATGGTAGGCAAATATGTTATTTTGAACGGCATATTTTGCTTTTCCGACAAATAACTACAAAAAATTTAAAAAGTAACCGGTTACTCAAAGACATGTTTTGCTAATATTCTTATGAAACAAAGAAAAAACGATATAAAATAATTCAATAAAGCCAATTTACCACTTTACAACTAATTATAGTAAAAACAAAAGAAAAGTAACCGGTTACTCATAGACAAATTTCTCTAATTTTCTTACAATAACCATCAAACTGGTTAGAGAAAGGTTGCGGTAGGCAAATATGTTATTTTGAATGGTATATTTTGCTTTTCCGAGGGATAGCTATAAAAATTTTTAAAAGTAACCGGTTACTCGAAGACATGTTTTGCGAATTTTCTTATAAAAAACAGTGAACATCGATATAATTAGACTCTATAAAGATAATTTATCACTTTCCAACTAATTGCAATTAAAAACAAAGAAAAGTAACCGGTTACTCATAGACAAATTTTGCCCATTTTCTTACCATAACAATCAAACTGATTAGAGAACGGTTATGGTAGGCAAATATGTTATTTTGAACGGCATATTTTGCTTTTCCGAGGGATAGCTATAAAAATTTTTAAAAGTAACCGGTTACTCGAAGATATGTTTTGCGAATTTTCTTATAAAAAACAGTGAACATCGATATAATACGACTCTATAAAGCAAATTTATCACTTTCCAACTAACTGCAGTAAAAAACAAATAAAAGTAACCGGTTACTCATAAACAAATTTTGCTAGTTTTCTTACAATAACCATCAAACTGATTAGAGAACGTTTATGGTAGGCAAATATGTTATTTTGTACGTTACATTTTGCTTTTCCGACAGATAACTACAAAAAATTTAAAAAGTAACCGGTTACTTAAAGACATGTTTTGCGAATTTTCTTATTAAAAACAATGAAAGTCGATATTAAGTGACTCAATAAAGCCAATTTACCACTTTCCAACTAATTGCAATTAAAAACAACGAAAAGTAACCGGTTACTCATAGACAAATTTTGCTAGTTTTCATACCAATAACCATCAAACTGGTTAGAGAACAGTTATGGTATGCAAATATGTTATTTTGAAGCATATTATAGTATTAACTAGGAAAAAGTAACCGGTTACCCAGAAATAAATTTTCCTAGTTCCGAAAAATTTTCGTCAACAATTTTTAAAATACAATCCAAATTGTATGAGTAACAAGTTATGAAGATAAACTTTGTCATTTAAAGTAGTCAGATCAACGTAATATTTAATTTTTTTCATGGGTACCCGGTTACTTACCAAGATTTCGTAGTGAATTTATTTAAAACTTCGGTAGACAGATTAACAATCCTCTAAGTACATAGAATATAAATAAAAAAATAAGTTTTAATGACAAAGTATTGATGAGTAACCGGTTACTCGGAAGGATTTTTTTCGCGAAAATTTTGCAAAATAACCACTAAAGTTCAAAATTATTTAAAATACTTCAGAATATAAAAGGTTTAATTGTTTTTAAAGCGACATGTTGACCTTTATCGTAGCCGGGTAACCGATTACTTTCATTGAATTTTTCTTAAATTCAATCGAAACCCAAACAAATTTGTCTTGTTAATGTATAAAATTACAAAAAAAAAAAACATAACCCGGCCAATGTAAAATGAAAGCACCTGCTCAATAATCCAGACATTCCGACTCTCTGGATCGGTCCACCACCTAACCAAAAAAAAAACGCAATTTTTATAATGTCTTGTGTAAATATCACCTGTTACTAACTAAGAAAATTGAAAAAAAAAAAAAATTAATATTGAATATATTCACATCTAACAACGTGTTGAAACCATTTTTGTGTGTTTCGAACTCATTTTTTCGAAATTTCTAATAAAATTTTCGTTTTTCTTCTTCTCATCTCTTCGCCTTTCGTGGAATCTGTGACAATGTTTTGGGAAAACTACAGTCTGCTCAGCTAATGAGTTTATGTGCGATCAACGTTGTTTACCCATGGAATATCGATGCAATGGTTATAATGAATGTAACGATGGTAGCGATGAGAGGGATTGTCCAGAAAAAGGTAAGTTCGATTTTTTTTGTTTTCATTTCTTCATATTAAGTATTATCGATGTTATTTTGCAATGTGTTATCGACAAAATTTCAGATGCAAAATATTGTTACAAGTTATGGTTTTATAAAGGATACTTTTTTATTGTTATCGAATAATTTCCACTGACCATATACTGTTATCGATAGCTTTTGTATATAGTAACGAAATTATCGATAACTTTCCTATGCAGCAGTGTTACTGTCGATTACGTTACTATGAAGAAAATTTATTATTTCTGAAAACAAATTCTTTCGACTATCGGAAAAGTTGTTATTGACAACTTTTCTCTTCGGAAAATTTGTTATCGACAACTTTTCTCTTCGGAAAATTGGTTATCGACAACTTTTCTCTTCGGAAAATTGGTTATCGACAATTTTTCTCTTCGAAAAAGTTGTTATCGACAACTTTTCTCTTCGGAAAAGTTGTTATCGACAACGCTTCTCTTCGGAAAAGTTTTTATCGACAACTTTTCTCTTCGGAAAAGTTGTTATCGACAACTTTTCTATCCGGAAAAGTTGTTATCGACAACTTTTCTATCCGGAAAAGTTGTTATCGACAACTTTTCTTTACGGAAAAGTTGTTATCGACAACTTTTCTTTACGGAAAAGTTGTTATCGACAACTTTTCTTTACGGAAAAGTTGTTAATGACAACTTTTCTCTCCAGAAAAGCTGTTATCGACAACTTTTTTATTGGGAGTAGTTGTTATCGACAACTTTTCTATAGAGAATAGTTGTTATCGACAACTTTTTTATTGAAAATAGTTGTTATCGACAACTTTGCTATTGAGAATAGATGTTATCGACAACTTTTCTATGTAGAATAGATGTTATCGACAACTTTTCTATGTAGAATAGTTGTTATCGACAACTTTTCTATGTAGAATAGTTGTTATCGACAACTTTTCTATGTAGAATAGTTGTTATCGACAACTTTTCTGTGCGAAAAAATTGTTATCGACAACGTTTCTATAGAGAATAGTTGTTATCGACAACATTTCTACTGAGAATAGTTGTTATCGACAACATTTCTACTGAGAATAGTTGTTATCGACAACTTTTCTACTGAGAATAGTTGTTATCGACAACTTTTCTATAGAGAATAGTAGTTTTCGATAACTTTTCCATTGGGAATAGTTGTTATCGACAACTTTCCTATCCGGAAAAGTTGTTATCGACAACTTTTCTATCCGGAATAGTTGATGTTATCGATAACTTTATGATTTATGATGATGTTATCGATGTTATCGATAACTTTTCTATGTAGAATAGTTGTTATCGATTACTTTTCTATCCCGAAAAGTTGTTATCGATTACTTTTCTATCCGGAAAAGTTGTTATCGAAAAATTTTCTCTCCGAAAAAGTTGTTATCGACCACTTTTCTCTTCGGAAAAGTTGTTATCGACAACTTTTTTCAAAAATGTTGTTATGGATAACTTTTCTCTTCGGAAAAGTTGTTATCCATAGTGTTTCTTAAAGAAATTGTTTATCAGAAATCAAGACAAATTCTTAATGGTTTCCTCTTTTGCCAATCTTTCATATTTGCCGATTTTTTTCTCTTCCCCATTCAACCTCTTCAAAAGAAAAACGCTTTAATTAATAGTTTAGTTTTCAGTTTTCAATTTGAAAATTTCAAATGTAGACAAAAACCAGTCACATTTCAATTTTTCTTTTTTTTTTTCCTGCCGATTCTAATGGGAAATCAATCGTTTTCCAAATTAATTAAAAATTATAATGACCCTGAACTGAATACTTACATACCATGTGCATATATATTTGAATATTTACCGCAAAAAAAAACGATTCGGAAAATATTGCCAAAATGTTGTATTTGTATGTGGGCACAAATAAATTATCTAAAGTTCTGTTGTGATTTAAATTAATATTTTTTTCTGGGGGGAATAACAAAAACGAGCCACTCCTCTTGAAAATGTGGAGCACACTCGGCAACATAGTCTAGGGTAAATTGAATATATATTTTTTGTTGTGAGTGGGGGTGTGCTAAGAAGAAAGGGTGATCCTCAAGGAGAAGGAGGATTTTTCGTACGCTCTCAGGTTTAATGGATGTCCTCCCTAAATCCCATTTTAATTTTAAAATATTTTTTGGAATATTTTTATTTCAAAATTTAAATTTTACCACCCCTTTTGAAGACCCTTTGCCACCTTGATTTTTTGCTCTCCGCAAAAGGTCATGACAATCCCAACACACAACTTTCATTTGTGGGTGTTGACATTTGCCAGAGATTAGTATTAAATAAATTTTACAAAGCAAAATATTGAAGTGCATTTTCAGCACCAGGGGGAGGGCCCCACAAAGGGGTGGATCAAATAGAAAGTTTTGGTAGAATTTCATTTCAAATGGAAATATTGTTATTTGGTCGAAAAATAAAAACAAAAATTAAAATATTTTTGTTGGGACAAAAATTGGATCTTCAGGGGAGGACAGGAGATGTGGCCTTGTCCTTAGCAGGAGGTGAGATCCTCAAAAAAAGATTTAGTAGACCAAGGTCCTTTTTTCAGTTCTACTCTCTCATCCAACGCCATTTCTTTGAAAATACATTTCACAGCCATCACATCCTTGCCATATTTCCCTGCCTGGATTTTTGGTAGGACTTCCCCCTCCACTTCCCAAAAAAAACCAAAAATCACAAAAGACCTGTTAAACGTTTATGTTTTATGAGCTAAGCCAAACAATTTTGTTAAACATCCTGATTTTTTTTGTACTTCTCTTTCGAGCCCTTTCATTACTTCTCCTTTCAAAAGTCAGTCTCTTTCTCTCCATAAAAATGACACTCTTCTCCTTCATCTTTGCATAGCTATCTCACATATTTCCATGAACTGCTTCTAATTTTGCAAACATTTTAAAACGCCAAAAAAGCATCCTTGCATCCTTCATAAGCTAAGTGAGCATTTTGGGAGTCATGTTTTTATTTTCATCCTCAGAAAGTAAGTGCCATAGAGGTCCTTGTTGCTATTACCACTTCAGTGTAGTCAAAATGACAAGACACTGGGTGTGAGGGGAAATATGCAAAAATTTAATCAAATCTCAAAATTATTGGGGGGTGGGTTTCCTTGGCAGGCCAAATGGTGGTTACGCCAGACTGGGTGAAAGCAGAGTTGCGAATTTAAATTTTCTCCACAAAAAAGACTACCGGAAAATCAAACAAAAAGTGAAACCTAATGCTTAAAGATTCGAATAAATTATCCCTCAAAGGGTATATATCTCAAAGGAAACTCAAGGAAAAAAAGTGGCTTGAACCACTAAATTAAAGCCGACCAATTTTTAGTTGTAAAAAAACTTTCGACCAATTTTGAGCAGATGCTAAGAATACGTCTTTAATCAAGTTATTTATACCCAAACATTAATTTTTTTTAAAAAAAATGTTGGCTTGAATGAAAAATTAAAACCGACCAAATTTCACTTCTAAAAAAAATCCGACCAATTTTAAGCAAATGCTAAGAAATCTTCTTTAATTGATATATTTATAGCCAAACATTACATTTTCGTAAAATAAAAGTTGGCTTAAATGACTAAATTAAAACCGACCAATTTTGGGTTGAAAAAAAACTTTCGACCAATTTTGAGGAGATGCTAAGAAAACTTCTTCAGTCAAGATTTTTGTACCCAACAAAAAGTTGACTTGAATGTCTAAATTAAAACCGACCAAATTTGAGTTGTAAAAAAAATCCGACCAATTTTGAGCAGATGTTAAGAAAACTTCTCTAAACAAGATATTTCTACCCAAACATTACATTTACGTTAAAAAAGTTGGTTTAAATGACAAATTAAAATCGACCAATTTTGGGTTGTAAAAAAAAATTTCGACCAATTTTGAGCCGATGCTAAGAAAACTTCTTTAAACAAGATATTTATACCCAAGCATTACATTTTCGTAAAATAAAAGTTGGCTTAAATAACAAAAAATCAAACCGACCAATTTTGAGTTGTAAAAAAACTTTCGACCAATTTTGAGCAGATACTAAGAAAACGTCTTCAATCAAGATATTTATAGCCAAACATTACATTTTCTTTAAAAAGAAGTTGGCTTGAATGACTAAATTAAACCCGACCAATTTTGAGTTGTAAAAAATGCTTCGACCAATTTTGAGGAGTTGCTAAGAAAACGCTTTCAATCAAGATTTTTATATCCAAAAATTATGTTTTCGTTAAAAAAAGTTGCTTGAATAAAAAATTAAAACCGACCAAATTTGACGTGCAAAAAATAATCCGACCAATTTTGAGCAAATGCTAAGAAAACTTCATTAATTGAGATATTTATAGCCAAACATTACATTTTCGTAAAATAAAATATGGCTTAAATGACTAAACTAAAACCGACCAATTTTGAGTTGTAAAAAAACTTTCGAGCAATTTTCAGCAGATGCCAAGAAAATGCCTTCAGTCGAGATATTTATAACCAACCAATGGATTTTTCATAAAAATGTAGATAAAGTGACCAAATAGATATTTATACCAATTTTCCGACCAATTTTTTCTGAAAAAAAAATATATGAAAAACATATAAAATAAATGCTAAAATAAATTAAAATTATGTCCATTTAAAAAAATTGGGTTTCAGGTTATAAAAACAAAATGACCCAAAAAAAAAAAAAATAAAAAAATTCGACCAATTTTTTTCTGAAATAAAAACAGAGATCAGAAATGGGCAAGACAGCATTTAAATTAAATAAAAGTTATGCCCAATTGAGAATTTTGGGTTTCAGGTTAAAAAAAAAAATTCATAAAAAAAATAACAAAAATGCCCAAAATGACCCAATTAAAAAAAAAATAAGATATTACAATTTCCATTGAAAATGTCTTAAAAAACTCTGTTATTTCTGTATTTTTACCGATCATATTTGTCTACAATTTTTTTTTTTTTTTTTTTTTTTGGTACAAAAGACCCAAAAATGAAATTGGCCCAATTTAAAAAATTCCCAATTTAATTTTTTTTATTTATTTATTCTGCA